GAGCCAAGACCCTACCTCTTAAAAAATAAAAATAAAAATTCTAGAAAACAAAGCCCAGGCTACTCTTAAAACCCTTTATAATCTAACAACTCTTAATTTTCTAGTCTCATTTCTCACACTCCTCTATGTAATTGACTACTCTAGTCCATATCTTGTAAATATAGCAAGCTCACTACAATTTTAGGACTTTGTACTTGCTGTTCTTCTGGGAGTATTCTACACCCTAATATTCGCATGACTGATTCATCATTCAAGACTCACCTCAAAGGTCACCTCCTTCTGCCTGATCACCACATTCTAAGTAACCCTCTGCTCAATCGCCTTCTAACAGTACACTGCCTTATCCTCAGAGCATCTCTCATTGCCTGAAAAGAACTTATTTGTTTGTTTACTGTCAGTCTTCTCCGCCAGACTGTAAGCTCCAGGAGCCTGTCTTGGTCTCGTGGTAACACAACATGACCTAGCACAATTCCTGGCAGAGTGTAAGTACTCAATAACATTTACTGAAAGACTGAATTAATGATTATACTGTCGCACACTTGGGACTTTATTTCCTCCATCCGGCACTCCCACATTTAACTGCTACCTTCCAAACCTCCTGAAATCCTACTCATCAGTCAAGGCCAGATTCAAATTTGGCCTTCTCCATAATGCCAAGTCAAACCAATCACTCCTTTTTCTGTGTCCTAAGAGCACTTTGTTCATACTGGGTTATAGCCCCAGTTCTTTAAGTGTCTCCCATACTAAGCCATGAGTCAATTGAGCAACTTGTCTCAGTCACTTTGTGCTCTTAGTGACTCACACAAATACCCAACAAATATTTGTTGGGGCAAAGAGACCTGGGTTTGCACTATAGGTCTACCATGAATAAGTTACTTAATTTCTCTAAGGCTCAGTTTCCTTAATAATAGCAATTTGTAATCATAGTCATGATTTCCTAAGACTTTTGTAAATATTAAATGAAAATAAAGCCATCAAAACAGTTATCTGGTACACAGTTCAAGTTATCTATTATTAGCTTTACTAGTATAATTACAAAAGGTACATACCTAAGATTTCCATTATCTTGCAGAATCTGCATCAGGTTAAATTTAGGCTCTGGCTCCTGAGCCTCAATTTTGCAGCATTGTTCACCTTTATTATTCCATTCAGGAACTTTCAGGGAATTTTCTTTGGGTGAATTTTCTACCATAACAGTCAAGGAGGGTGTATATTTGGTTTGATTTTCTCCAAGAGACCCTGCAGACTCCTCCTGGGAAGCTTCCTGTTCTTCATCTTCATTGTCTAATGCAACTTCTTCCTCTTCTTCACTCTCTGTCTCAGTTTTAACATTCATTTCAGCTGGTTGGGTAATCACTAAATGCGAAGAATCACTAATGTTGCTGAAAAAAGGATTAAATTTTCCTCTCTCCCAAAACCTTCCTTTTATCTTTGTAGTAAAAACCCATTTATAAACAAACAACAAATAAGACACAAAATTAACAGCAACTACATGTTACTCTCTAACCTTATATAGTCTAAGAACCTATTAATGGTCTTCATTAAATTTGATATTTCTCATCATACCAACAGTTCTCTCACAACTTAAAGCAAAAAAGAAAAATCCTTGGTTGAGTAATTTCTACAATCAGTTAAAGGATTTTAGAAAAGCACACATCATGAAGGTAAAAGTAGGGGAATAGCTTTCTGTTCTGTGTTTTATTCATTATCCTTTTCTACTGTCTTAAAAGTTCTGAGGACAGGGACCATATATTTTTTATGCTCTAATGAAACACCAGTGACTCATGTGTTGCCAGATACAGGTACTCAACAAAAAAGGGGAAAAAAAGAAAAAAAAGGAAGTTAGTCTATCAGTTAATTACAAACAGAACTGCAACATGGGAGAAACCAGGAGAGAAAAAAATTCTGCTTTGTCTAAAAATAAGCATGCCCATCAGCAATGGCAAAGAATGAACTGAACTTACCTAATTATATAAAATCTAAACAGCAATGCTCAGGGTTCTATTAAACTAAGGCTAATATTTCCAAAGTATCAGGTATTTGTATGATGCTGGAATAAGAGTTAAAAGCCAAAATGTGTGTGCTTTAGATATTTTTCATATCTGAATGGAAGGCTTAAAGCTTATTCTCTTTTTGAAATTAAGTTTCAGGAAAAAAGGAATATACAAGAAAATGTATGTGATCAAGAAGGTTCTGACTCATTAAATAGTGAATAAGCAGCTGGTTAACAGTCTGACAAACCCACATAACAGATCTGGTAAAAGCTCATCAGCAGGTACCTGGGTACTTTGGCCTCATTGCCCTCAATCTGCCACTCCGTCGTCTACGTTTTCGCACCTCCAGAGACAGAAGCTTCCTCTCGTAAAGAGCAGCATGCAGCTTGGCTTTTGAATTCATACTCTCTACCTTCAATTCTGGTGTTCCATCAGCAGCCATTCTAGGGGAGAAACAGTATGGTTGCTACAGTCTCCATAAAATTCTTTCCTTTATTCCAAGGGTAAGCCTGACATAATTCTGTATGATAGACTGGGCAAGATAACTCTAGTTAATTCTAAAAAAGTGGGCAGCACCTGTGGCTCAAAGAGTAGGGTGCTTGCCCCATATGCCAGAGGTGGCGGGTTCAAACCCAGCCCCAGCCAAAAACTGCAAAATAAATAAATAAATAAAATGGGAAG